TAAAGGATTTCCACGATTCTCTGGAGGACCGGGTCACTTTCGCCTTCGTTCTCCTGGCAGATCAGCTCGATGTTCCTCAGTTTCCCGAAGTAGAAATCTCGTTCCTTTTCTAAGTCTTCCACGGTCATCTTTAACGCATTGATCTGACAAAGAAGAGTTCGTGTGAGAACGAAGGAGTACAAAGTTACGCTGGGGGTGCGGGGGGGGGGGGGAGAACGGCGCATTGCAGGCTGACTCTGCTCACTGCCAGCAATTCGACTCATCACCTATACCTGTGATGGCGAACCTATGGCATGCGTGCCAGAGGTGGCACACAGAGCCCTCTCTACGGGCACATGCGCCATTGCCAACCGCTCTTCACAGGTGCCAGAGCACCGGAAAAGGCCCTGAAAACGGCCCATAAAACAGGCTGTTTTTCAGCCCATTTTGGGGCCATTTTTGAGGCCATTTTCGAGCTGTTTTTCGTGCTGATTTCAGGCTGTTTTTTTGGCCCATTTTGGGCCATTTTAGACTGTTTTTCAGGTCATTTTTAGGCCATTTTTGCACTGTTTTGAGAACATTATTTGGCCATTTTTGGCCCCAAAAAAGGCTTCAAAATGGCCTGAAAAACAGCCAAAGAGCAGGCATGTGCGTGCCAGCCAGCTGGTCTTCAGATTTCCGGTGCTTTAAGCATGCGCATGTATGCACATTCTGGTTTCGGTACTCAGTGCTGAAAAGGTTCGTCATCATTGACCTATACTGCAAAGCACTGTGAAGCGGTATATGTGCTATTGAAACACTTTCCTTCCTTCCTTCCCTCCCTCCCGCAGGCTGGATGACTCATGCGCTGGCCACGCCCATATAAGACAACTGGCAGTTGGAACAGAGTTCCTTTCAGGTGGGGAGGGGGAGTAGAGCATCCTTAGCATCAACGCGTGTTAAAATAATACCACGTAAGAAATACTGATGATCTGGTGGTCATTCCGGAAAAATCCTTTTGAGCCGGCACCTAGAAGCCAAGAGGAACATACCTGCCGAATTTCAAGTTTGTAGGCTCTTCGGCTCTGGAGATTTCGTGGTGTGTGTTTATCCCACAGCTATAATTGCCCTCAACAATGAACTGAAGGGCCACCATCTGTGAGCTGTCGGACAGCAGGACTTGGTCTGTTGTGTGGATGCTTGGGTGGTTTAGGGGTGGGGAATTTTTGGTGGGTGGGTGGGGGGTGTTTGGGGATTGTCATGTGTGTTGGGCCTGGTCTCCGGGTGTTATGTGAATTTCGTTGTATGGGTATACTGTGTATATACATACAATGACAATAAAGTAATTGTATATATTTATTATTTGGCTTTCATATATATATATAGATTGCTATTGAAATACTTTCCCTCCTCCCTCCCTCCCAGTTGTTAGAATGCAGGATTGCAGGCTGACTCTGCTCACTGCCAGTAGTTCAATCCTGACCAGCTCAAGGTCAACTCTGCCTTCCATCCTTCCAAGGTCAATAAAATGAGGACCCAGATGGTTGGAGGCGATATGCTGACTGTAAAACCACTTAAGAGTACTGTTAAGCACTGTGAAGAGGTATATAAGTGCTATTGCAACCGAAACATTTTCCTTCCTTCTTCTCCTTCTCCTTTCTTTTTCCTTTCTCTGAGCCCTGGTGGCGTAGAGTGCAGGCAAGGGGGGAGGGAAGAGATCTCTCTCTCTCTGTCTCCCTCCCTCTCTATCTCTCTCCTTCCCTCCCGCTCTCTCCCTCTCTCTCCCTCTGTGTGTTTGTGTGGGTCAGGCACCCATGTAAGGACGCACTCCATTTCCATCAGCGGCAAATGCTCGCACAAATGGAGTCTGACCTGGGAGCGGGAGCGCTCATCACTCACACAGGTGGAGCTGTGTGGCCATGGTCATCTGCTGTTTGGACGGCCCAGTCCCAAACGCATCATGACTTGGGAGGTCGATCAACTCACCGTGTGCTTCTCACTCCTCGGCCCTGGCGGAAGTCCAAGAGGGGCTAACAGACACTGCCTCCCCCCACTTGGACCCCTTTGGAGACCCGTGTGGTTTAAATCCAGCATTAAAGGGGTTCGACATTTCCCATCAGGAAACATCACAGCTGCCCACATCACAATCCACCCGTGGAAGAGAAGCTTCCGAAGCTTCAGAGGTTGTGGGAGCTTCGTCCCTGGAGGCCTTCGAGAGGAGACCGGACTCACATCGGTCAGGAACGCTATGGGGCCGTGATAGGGAACCTATGGCATGGGGGGCCGGAAGGGGCACATAGAGCCATCTCTCCAGCCAAGTGAGACGTTGCCCGTTTGGGTTCCGGTGCGCCAGCCAGAAGGTCTTCAAGCGTGCGTGTGCCAGAAACTGGAAGAGCAGCTGCTAAGTGCGCATGAGCAAGCCGGAAAGATGATTTTCTGGTTTCCGGCGCTCGCATGCGCACCAGGCACCTGATTTTCACACACACACATGCGCGCACCAGAAACCAGAAGGCCAATGCACATGCAAGCACCAAAAACTGGAAGATCATCTTTCTGGCACACTAAGCGGCTGCTCTTCCAGTTTCCGGCGCTAGCGCACAATCCTGTTTCGGCACTCAAGTGCCGGAAAGGTTCGCCAACACGGCTCTTTGCTTGGGAGGGGTTGGGCTAGATGACCTCCAAGGTCCCTCCAAACTCTGTTAACCTGTTTAAATCCGATTTATCGCTGCTGACCCGCTCCCCGAAACCCACCTGCTGTATCAATTCGGCCGATTCGTCCTCTCCGATTCCCCCAGGAGCCTTTTTGATCATGGGAGGCCCCGGTTTGTTCGCCACCGTTGTTCGCTGTGCAACCATGGGCCTCGTTGGGGCTGCGAAAGAGAGAGGAAGCGCGTTAGCCATGCTCTGCAGTGGGGCGCAGGGCCTCGGCACCACTGCCAACCAAAGTGAACGACACCCGAAGCGTGCAACCTGGTGTGTGCTACAAAAGAGCCCAAAAGGGAAGGAGGAGGAGGAGGTGAGAGAGACAGACAGAGAGAGACAGAGACAGAGAGACAAAGAGAGACAGAGAAAGACAGAGAGACAAAGAGAGAGACAGAGACAGAGAGAGAGAGACAGAGAGAGAGAGAGAGACAG